TATATATAAGTATAAGCATATACATAAAGTATAAGCATATACACAAAGTATAAGCATATACACAAAGTATAAGCATATATATATATATTTATACTTTCATATGTCTCAACCTTCTCGTCATTCAGGCTAACCAAGGGAGGCATATTTTCTTTGCAACAAGAAGCTATTATATACGCAACACATTGGACAAAACAGAAGTGACATTAATTTTATTCAAACTCTTCCACCTTTAACACCTGCAACAAGTAAAAGCACTGTGATTTATTTACCTTGCATGACTCTCATGCAAACTTGCTTAATGTGCTGGTCTGTCGGTGCTCTACCCTGAAACAGAGAATGGAAAAGGCAGTTTAAACACAGAACTGTAAGGAGGGCAATATTAAGGTGTGGACTCACTGATTCTGCTATTAAATCCAGGTGGCTGGATTTCTAAGAGAACTTGTCCATGTTGCTGGGGGCGGCTGCCTACTCTAGCCCCACTGCCCACCCCCCATCCTGTACTGTGAGATGGAGTGTATAAAGGGAAGCCACGGGACTGGCTAGCACTCACCGCAGGGCCCTCGATTCCAGGCAGGCCTGTGGCACCCTGCTCTCCCTGCACACCTCGAGGTCCCGGTGGGCCACGTGGTCCTTCCACTCCAGGAAGCCCCCTGATTCCTTCAGGCCCTCTCAGCCCAGGCTCCCCAGGGTTACCCACCTGCAACAAAATAGCATGTTCTACAGCCAAGACTGAACACAAGCAATACTTTTGCTTAGTCTTACTACACACTTTTCTGAAATTTACATTGGGTTTCCTATATTCTACCCTCTCCTGAGGAAAGCCCCCTTACAGATCTTCAGAGCATCAGAGGTACATGCGCAACATCACACAATCCAGTGCTCTTTTAGTATTCCTGATCAAGTAAAATGTTCTAAATATTTTGAGAGTTTAGTTATATTTCAGAATGTCATGGGGGAAAATATTTGTAAAACCACATTCTAAAGATCTTTTAAGACACTTCCTAAGAGGAAGCTAGTTTTGAATAAGACACATAACTTCTGACCCCAGAAATCTCCCTGCTTTCTTCCAAGACATGTTACTTTGCATATCATCAATGCAATAAGCATAGGGGGGGGGAACAAAAACAAAAACAAAACCTTTTTAAAAGAATGTATTTTTGCCTCATAATATCTTTTGGAGAATCTGAAAATGCCAGATATATTTGAGTGTTCTCAAATATAAATCAATCAGTGCCATTAAAATACTGGACCAAAAAAAATCTTTGCAAGTCATTTAAGTATTCAAAATAAATCAAACCAGCCAAATAAACAAATTAAAAAACCAAACCCCGCTCTTATTTCCCTCAAGAAGAATTGACTCATAGCTGATTCTTCATTGGGTTTCCAATGTTATAACTTGAATGAGAAGATCCAACTTTCTCTCTCAGAGCCAAAGATGAGTGCAGGTCTCTGAAGACTATACCACCAGAACATCTAAATGTTCAAGATAATAAAAACAAATACCTTCTTTTCTTAGCACAAAAGTAAAAACAAGCAAAAAAACCTCAAAACACACATTTTATATTTTTGGGAAATGGAATGAAAAACTGATCACTAAAAGTTCTGGTTTGTTTGATTTTTATTTCATTTAGCAGGAGAAGGATCGGTAATCTCCTACCACGCAATTTACTGTCTCTGAAAATGCCCTGGAGGGTCAGCTATGTGTCAGTTCTGACTCGACAGAACACAATAACAACAGTATTTAACAGAATCTTTTCCTATAACTATTTTAAAAGATATTACATTTACTCATTCTTTGTATATGGCCTCTGCTGGCATTGGTGGCAAAGTAGTTACAATGCACCATTGTTACTAGAATAAGAATAAAATGATGAAAGGACAGGATGCAGCAAGGAAATTCCAGAACTCAAGATTTTTCACAATGAAACTTAATACATTTTAATGCAATTCTTAATTTTTAATGCAATTTTTATCTAAAAAAGCTCTTTCAAAAATACAAATGTTTAAAAACTAAGGGAAAGAAGATGATGGCAATACAGTCCACTTAGATATATCTAAATAAAGCTCAGCAAATGTACTTATATTTCCAATTTTGGTGGGAGGGAGAAAAAAACCTTGCAAAAATAGCTTTTGTGGAAAAAATTACAGTTTGAAAGATGGCCTGAAAGGGAGTACCAATAAAGAGAGTTAAGTCTATGCTACAAAGAACTTCCAGGTATCTAGAGTGCAAAACTATCACAACTTCTCAAACAACCCTGGAAAGCAAACCAAAATAAATTCCAAAATGCGTTCAAGAACTTGCAGAAAACAGGAGATACCAAAGTAAACTGGATTATCTTGCTGAGGCTGTCCAAAATATTGCTATAACCAGAGACAGGAAAGTTTTGATGAAGGAGACAGAGAGTTGTAAAACCAGAAGTTTGTGAGGACCTGGATCATGTAGGGAAAACTCCTCACTTGACAAATGGGACACTGATACTACTAGGAAACAGGGTACAGATATTTCTTCTTGACCATGTTTGTGTGTAATAAATGAGGAAGGTCTTTTTTAGTAGCCCTTTATTGATTCTGGGCCCTCACCTTCAATATCATCAAAGGAAGGAGGTATATACGAAACAATAATTGTCAGTAGAATAATCTTTCCATGGTGAAACTTCCAAATAAGATAAGTGATGTAGATATAGAATTTTCACATGGGTAGGAATTCAAAGCAAAAGTTAAAAAATAAAATATCATTTTATACTTGGAAAATAAATGTCAGAGTAACCACAAAGAAAATTAAGAACCCTACTTATCAAATAATTAGTTAGATCATAACAAATTATGGTTAACATTGAGAACAAGAATCCTAGATTTGCTCATCCAAAATCTACACCCAGACCAAGAATCGTTATGCAAAAAAGAGCAAGGGAATACGACATGATTTAAAATTAAGAAAGGCATGCCTCATAGTTATATCTTTTCACCTCACCTAGTCCATCTGTATGCCAAGCAAATTATTTGAGAAGATGGGCCCTATGAAAAATAATGTGGCATCAGAATTGGAGAAAGACTCCTCAACAACTTTTGGTATGCAGATGACAAAACCTTGCTTGCTAAAATGGAGGAGGACTTGAAACATTTACTGCAGAAGATAAAAAACTGCAGCCTTCAATATGGATTTCACCCTAACATCAAGGAAACAAAAATTCACACCACTGGATCAATAGGCAACATTGTGATATATGGGGAAAAGATTAAAACTGTCAACAACTTTATTTGGATACACAATCAATACTCTTGGTACCAGAAGTCAGGATATCAGGAAATGTAGTGCACTGGGAAAGTCTGAAGTCAGGGACCTCTCCAAATTACTGAGGAGCAATAATGTTAGTTTGAGGACTAAGGAGTGCCTGATTCAGATGATGGTCTTTTCAATCACTTGCTATGCATCTAAGAGCAGATGAAAATGAAAAACAGATGACAGAAGAAAATGTGATATCTTTGAACTGTGCTATTGGAGAAGAGTGCTGAATGTCCCATGGATACTGCCAAAAGAACAGATACGTCTTGGAGAAAGCAGAGCCAAAGTGCTCCTTGTAAACAAGGATGGTGGAGCTTCGTGTGGCATACTCTGGATATGTTGCTAGGAGAGGCTATTTCTCGAATAAAGAAATCACTCTTGAAAAGAGAAGGGGATGGAAAAAGAGAGGAAGACTCTGAACCAGGTGGATTAACACAGTGACTGCAGCAAGAGGCTTGAGTATGTCAGAGATTGTGAGATTAGCACAGGATGGGACAGGGTTCAAATCTGTTGTTCACAGGATCACTGAGTCATACTCAATGGCACCCAACAATCACAACAACTACTTATTAAAATCAACCACTCTCCCTAGTAGCAGCACTCAAGAAATCAAAAGATGTATTGCATTGAAGATATCCACTGTTGAGGCCCTCTCCAAAGTTCAAAAGTTAAAGAATTTCACTTTAAAGACCATGGTGGACTTGATTCAAGCCAAGCTCTTCTAATTATTTCCCATGCATCTGCAAGTTGGATAATGAATATAGAAGATCAAAGAATTGGCATTAAGATGTTGGTGAAAAGTATTGAATATCTCATTAACTGTTGTTGTCGTTGTTGTTGTTATGTGCCGTCGAGTCATTTGCGACTCATAGTGACCCTATGTACAACAGCCCTAAACCCTGCTCTATCCTGCGCCAACCGCACTGCCTCTGACACACCCATCCTGATTACCCCAGTTACCGAATCAATCCATCTCATAGA